CGATTGATGACATTCATTATATTAATCTGCATTATGATCGATATATTGTGATATTTGACAGTGTTTACCCTTTCACGTGATATTATGGAATTTTTGAGTTGGAATGTGGTATAACATTTGGAAATAGATGAAAATAAAATGAAGCAACAACAAGTAAAATAAAAAAAGAAAAAGAAAAAAACAATTCAAATAAAATTTCATCGTACAACAAAATCCAAAATAAAATAAAAAAAAATATATTTATTACATCAACGCTGCGCCCTTTCCCAATCCGCCTTAATTAGGGCCAGCGTATCTGCATGACGCGCCGCCACAGCAGGATCAACAACCTCGAAATCCCGCAGGAGGTCTGATGATGCGGAGAATAACCGATTCACCCACTATACATAAAAGCTGAAGTAAAAATATTATCACATATATATTAAAAAACGACTTACTATTTTAATGAAAGCACAATAACTAAAATTTGGTAAACGACTTACATAACCGGTGTTGGCGCGCGAAGGGACGGCTTCGTCATCCGGCAGACTGTCAGACAAGAGTCTAGGATGAGAAAACTGATAGTACCATTGCTGGTACTGCTCATAGGCCTTCCTTGGATCATCTGCGGTGGTCGGAGTACAATGAGTCAAGTTTATAGAATGCAGCTGCGGGAACTGGTCCCAGTGATCCACTGCAGTAGTATCCGCATGCTCAACCCTGTACAACCTAGAGTTCCAGGCACGGACTGCCTTGAGTGGACGATCTATGCGGGAAGGACAGTCTGCACGTAGCCCAACTGACGCAACCACCGCAGAGGCATGTACGGCTCCACAATATCCCGGTACCTAAGGCATCCGTTATAAAGGGTCCTAGGCTCGATGTCATGTGGCCGGCGGTCGTAGGGCAGCCAGTTCACCTGTTCACAATTGCATAAAAACATATATTGAAACAATTCAATTATTCCAAATAACTTTCAACTAAATGTAAATAAAATAACTTGACGCACCTCGGCGGCGGTGAGAATGTCAAGCTGCCTACGGAAAGCTTTGAGGCGCGCATCTGACCTCTCCGTCACCGCCACGCTCCACGAGGCTGATCGGGCGACATAGCCAGGCTCGGGGATCATACGCGCTCGCTGGGGTCGGAAGGTGGGGAAATACTCGTATATCCAGGACTGCATGAGAGTCAAGCAGCCAGACACTCCCTGTGAGTCCCCCCTGCTGGCAATACTTAACTGTCTGTACAGGTATGCCAGCGCAGCCGAGCCCCAAGAGTAAGTCCCAACTTCCCGTACCTTGTCCATCATCTCGTGCAGGAGTTTGGGACAGACCCTGTTACCACTCTTGTCCACAAACAAGGTGGTAGCGAGCAACACCCACAACCAGCCAATAGCCACATGCTCAGCCGACCGAGCTGCGCCATTCTTTATCAATGCTTCAAAAACGACTTGATTTTTCACAGACCCGTGATTCCAAAGACGCGTCATCAGATGACTCTGGTCCACCCCGAGGATCTCCATGCAGTTCGCCTGGCAGGTCACGCCGTCGGGGTCCACACTGACAACCGCTGCATCCACAGGAACACCCAAAATGGCCCTCACGTCGTGCAGCATGATACTCATTTCACCAAAAGGCAGGTGAAACGAGTTGGTATCCGGCTGCCAGCGCTCCACAAATGCAGAAATGAGTGGAGTGTCGACGTAAGTATGCATGTTGGATGCCAAATGTGACAGCTCGGTCTGAATGATCATATCACGCGCATCCTGGACCATCGTTTCGAGCCAGCCCCTCAATTCACCGTGCGCGCCCTGCCTGTTTTGGCATTTAAGCATGCCTCTGAACTCTCCAGTCCACATACGGGAGGCTACGTGCCCTAGAAAACTAGGGATAACACTCCCGTCAACGGGGCCACCGGGCACTGGGGCTGTAACGATCCAGGGGTCATTCTTCGGCCGTTTGCTACTCGCACCTGTATTAGAATAGAACAATCAATATATATACGACATATTGTGACTGACCGTATCAATTATTTAATGAAAAAACATATAATGGTAAACAACAATAAATACGTAAATCATTTACCTGAGGAAGATCCAGCGCCCGCAAAACGACCCCCACCCTATCGTGGAGGATTAACTCCATCGAGTCTTTTACCTGCACCGGCTGCAGGTGCAGGACCCTGTGGCCGCTCTGGCTGTGCCTGTGGGTCAGGAGATACAATGTCCTGCTCAGCTGCCACAGAGTCGGAGTCAAATGTCTCGTCATCCCCATCACCACCATCATCATCATCATTCGCCGGAGTTCTGACTGCCGACTCAGAAGAATAACCCTGCGACCGAGTGATACGTATCCGAGGGAGACGTCCCGGACTGGCAGGTACGAGTGGCCCAGACTGCTGACCACTCTGTATCGGACGAACGAGACCTCCCGAACTGCCAGCCATGACTGAGCCGGACTGCTGACCGAACTGCTGACCACTCTGTATCAGAGGGGGACCTCCCGAAGTGGCAGGAATGAGTGGCCCTGACTGTTGACCGGTCTGTATCGGACGAACGGGAGGTCTCAAACCGCCAGTCTGCCCAAGCTGTACCAGGAGAGCCTCACGACGCCTCTCCTCCATCTCCCGCCGAGCGGAAGCATCCACACAACGACTATACGTGTGTCGGGGTCCAGAACCCTCAAACTCGGCAACATGCTCATCCTATTAATTAGTATATATATATATTTTCAAAGGTTAAAAAGTAAGAAAAAGTGAAAAATCAAATGGATAGTGTTCTCCAATTTGTGCAACCATCATGAGATTACTCATGAGTTTTATTTTTTTTTTCAAAAGCTTGACACTATTGATTTTATCTCTCCCCTGCGCATATATATATATATTTTCAAAGGTTAAAAAGTAAGAAAAAGTGAAAAATCAAATGGATAGTGTTCTCCAATTTGTGCAACCATCATGAGATTACTCATGAGTTTTATTTTTTTTTTCAAAAGCTTGACACTATTGATTTTATCTCTCCCCTGCGCATATATATATATATTTTCAAAGGTTAAAAAGTAAGAAAAAGTGAAAAATCAAATGGATAGTGTTCTCCAATTTGTGCAACCATCATGAGATTACTCATGAGTTTTATTTTTTTTTTCAAAAGCTTGACACTATTGATTTTATCTCTCCCCTGCGCATATATATATATATTTTCAAAGGTTAAAAAGTAAGAAAAAGTGAAAAATCAAATGGATAGTGTTCTCCAATTTGTGCAACCATCATGAGATTACTCATGAGTTTTATTTTTTTTTTCAAAAGCTTGACACTATTGATTTTATCTCTCCCCTGCGCATATATATATATATTTTCAAAGGTTAAAAAGTAAGAAAAAGTGAAAAATCAAATGGATAGTGTTCTCCAATTTGTGCAACCATCATGAGATTACTCATGAGTTTTATTTTTTTTTTCAAAAGCTTGACACTATTGATTTTATCTCTCCCCTGCGCATATATATATATATTTTCAAAGGTTAAAAAGTAAGAAAAAGTGAAAAATCAAATGGATAGTGTTCTCCAATTTGTGCAACCATCATGAGATTACTCATGAGTTTTATTTTTTTTTTCAAAAGCTTGACACTATTGATTTTATCTCTCCCCTGCGCATATATATATATATTTTCAAAGGTTAAAAAGTAAGAAAAAGTGAAAAATCAAATGGATAGTGTTCTCCAATTTGTGCAACCATCATGAGATTACTCATGAGTTTTATTTTTTTTTTCAAAAGCTTGACACTATTGATTTTATCTCTCCCCTGCGCATATATATATATATTTTCAAAGGTTAAAAAGTAAGAAAAAGTGAAAAATCAAATGGATAGTGTTCTCCAATTTGTGCAACCATCATGAGATTACTCATGAGTTTTATTTTTTTTTTCAAAAGCTTGACACTATTGATTTTATCTCTCCCCTGCGCATATATATATATATTTTCAAAGGTTAAAAAGTAAGAAAAAGTGAAAAATCAAATGGATAGTGTTCTCCAATTTGTGCAACCATCATGAGATTACTCATGAGTTTTATTTTTTTTTTCAAAAGCTTGACACTATTGATTTTATCTCTCCCCTGCGCATATATATATATATTTTCAAAGGTTAAAAAGTAAGAAAAAGTGAAAAATCAAATGGATAGTGTTCTCCAATTTGTGCAACCATCATGAGATTACTCATGAGTTTTATTTTTTTTTTCAAAAGCTTGACACTATTGATTTTATCTCTCCCCTGCGCATATATATATATATTTTCAAAGGTTAAAAAGTAAGAAAAAGTGAAAAATCAAATGGATAGTGTTCTCCAATTTGTGCAACCATCATGAGATTACTCATGAGTTTTATTTTTTTTTTCAAAAGCTTGACACTATTGATTTTATCTCTCCCCTGCGCATATATATATATATTTTCAAAGGTTAAAAAGTAAGAAAAAGTGAAAAATCAAATGGATAGTGTTCTCCAATTTGTGCAACCATCATGAGATTACTCATGAGTTTTATTTTTTTTTTCAAAAGCTTGACACTATTGATTTTATCTCTCCCCTGCGCATATATATATATATTTTCAAAGGTTAAAAAGTAAGAAAAAGTGAAAAATCAAATGGATAGTGTTCTCCAATTTGTGCAACCATCATGAGATTACTCATGAGTTTTATTTTTTTTTTCAAAAGCTTGACACTATTGATTTTATCTCTCCCCTGCGCATATATATATATATTTTCAAAGGTTAAAAAGTAAGAAAAAGTGAAAAATCAAATGGATAGTGTTCTCCAATTTGTGCAACCATCATGAGATTACTCATGAGTTTTATTTTTTTTTTCAAAAGCTTGACACTATTGATTTTATCTCTCCCCTGCGCATATATATATATATTTTCAAAGGTTAAAAAGTAAGAAAAAGTGAAAAATCAAATGGATAGTGTTCTCCAATTTGTGCAACCATCATGAGATTACTCATGAGTTTTATTTTTTTTTTCAAAAGCTTGACACTATTGATTTTATCTCTCCCCTGCGCATATATATATATATTTTCAAAGGTTAAAAAGTAAGAAAAAGTGAAAAATCAAATGGATAGTGTTCTCCAATTTGTGCAACCATCATGAGATTACTCATGAGTTTTACCATGATCTCCATAACCATGTTTCCACACTATAATGACCGAATCCATAAGACTGCAATTTTCCTCTTACACAAGATAAAATACTATTTAATATTATTTATACTTTTTATACTGTTTGTAAGATTAAAAAGTTTATAATATTTTTAATGTTAGATAAATATTAAGTAACTAACTCATTTTTAGATTAATTGAAAATATATATTACAACCATTATGGTATTTTGTTTCAAAAAGTAATTGAAGAATAAGTTAACATAAAACTCATTTAGTTCTTCTTTTATTCACATAGTTAATATTGATAATAGTTGTAAGTTTGCATCCATTTTATACTTTTTTCTTAGTATGAATATCTCAAATCTATGTATGAAAAATATATCACATGTTTATCTTATGTCTTTTTATACTTACTAAAGTTTATTTAACGTGAATTTATAATGTATTTTATAAAATACTTTTAGGCCTATTTATTATTTTAAATTAGTATTGATATATATATATATATATATTATTTTTTATCGATAAAAATAATTATATTATTTTAATTTTATTTCGCATATATTGTCATATCAAAGATCATGCAAGATTATAATAATAAATATATATATATATATATATATATTATTGTCATATCAAAGAGCATATAGCATATATTATGTGATATATTACATATAAAAAGCGTAACTGGTATGCAAAGGACCTCAGACCGGCTGGAATAGGCCTGAACGTGTTCTTCCTCATCGGTAGATTGCCTGCAGACCTGTAAAAACTCTCACACCGGAGGGATTTTATGGTGAACAGCCTCCGATACTGAAATGAGCACTTGTAAAAGATGAAGTGCAGAAAATAGAGTGTATGTAACGTAATGACTGAAATCGCACATCTACCCCTATTTATAGATGTGAGGTACCTGCTTCTAGAAGGCTTCCGGATGTGGTGAACTGGCTGCCCAATCGTACAACCCATACTGCACAGTGTGTTAGAGACGGATATGAGCTGTAGACCAATCATGTAGTGCCACGTGGTTTTACCCATGTTGGGATTTAATTCCCCTAAGATTCCTTTTTGTCTCTTAGTCTTTTGTACTAGACCGCTTAATTGTACGACCAGCTCTAGGTCGGTTGAGGTAAAGCGCTGACTGTTCCGAGGCCAAGTGTTATCCTTTTTGGTCGATCGTACGACCAACCGTACCTACAGGTCGAGTCTCTACCAAGTCGTCTGAGGGCCCTAGCTCGACCTGTTCTCACTATATATCTCGAACCCTTTATGTTGTCTCCCGATCGAATGCTCTTAATCTTGTATTGGTGAAACTCTACCACCACCAACTCTGCTCCAATTCCGATTGACCACGCGGTTCGCACGGCCTAGTCTACTGGTTTACTTCCGATCGACCACTCTATGTACTTTTTTCTCAAATTCTTGCTTTCTTCCCTCCAGTCGTCATTTTGAATTTTAAAATTTGAACTTGTCCCCTGTCAGATCTGTTAGGCCCGTTCAATAGCACGTCTTGTTGATGTCATTGCCCCATGAATCGTATTGCCTGGCACATCGCGTCCATTAAATGCCCCATCAATGTTGTCCCTTAGATCTACCTTTAATCTATCGGTTAAAACCTAGTTCTCTTCGGATAACCGCCACATCGAAGCCATTAATTTCTCACTTGGTCCAATGGCCCTGCAGACCTATCCTTTTAATTCCACCTTAGTTAAATATGCACCATTTTCTCCTGCCCCGATTAGATGATCCTCCATCAACCGACCTTCCACTAGCCCGCACTTTTGCCTAACAACGCTTTTCAGTTTTCCACCTCTACGATATCATCTTTAGCAATATTTGTGCCCTTATTTTCGAGCTTTTCTGCAATCCCGAGCTCTACCAATTTTATGCTTCCCGACGCGCTATTTGAAGATGAGTAAGTTTTTCTGCAATCCCGAGCTCTACCAATTTTTCGAGCTTTGAAGATGAGTAAGTTTTTCGATCTTTTAGTTTGTGTTTTTTGTTTGAATTGCTCGACTTTTGATTTTCGATTTTCCATCCGATTTGTCGGCGACGACCTTGAACCCACGGGAAATGACATCTTTTACTTCCTACTCCTCTCTGCCAAAAACTCCCCAAATTTTCCTCTTTTTGATTTTTTTATCTTTTTTCATTTTCCCGATTCCGACACTTCCAGTGAGAACAACTGTTTTTTCGGCAAGGGTATGTCTCCTCCATCTTGCTTCTCGACCTCTCAACCACCGCTTTATTCTTCAACCTCCTCCGTTCAAGAGATTCTTCAACCATCCCATATTTTCATCGTTCGCCCCATGGCTCTGAACCAATCCTCACCTCACCATTCTGCCGACGAAGAGGTCGATGAGATCCCTCAAACCAAGGTACTTCAAACTGAACCTTCCCGCCGCTTTCGTCGACCACTCAGATTGTACGACGAGCCTGAAGATGAAGAAGTAGAAGAAAAAGACGATGACACCTTTCCACCCGAGCCTATATCTTGTACCATTCCTCGGGCCAGAGAAACACCTACTTCCGAATCTAGACCTTCTTCCAGTCATCGAAAACCTCACCCACTCGTTGAACCCACTAAGTCTTATCTCTCTCGTACCTTCTTAGGTAGCAAAAAGTGGTTGTCTAAGTATTGGAACGCCATTGGCCAGCCCACAAACAGGCTATTTGAGTCTCCCTGCGCTTTAGACACCTGCGATAATCCGCCTAAGGGATACTATACCATTTTCAGAGACACATCGACCTTGACCTTCAATTTCCATTCTTCTAGGACCTTCTAGACCTGTACAGTATCTTAGGTCTCCCTCTTAATAAACTTCCCCCTAACTCTGTTTGCATTTTGACCACCTTTGTCATTCTTTCCCATATTCATCTAGGTTGCCTCGACCTTGAATTTTTCTTTTACTCATTTATAGCCAAAAGTGAAAAGGATGGCCTCTACCTTCAAAGCCGCAATGGTGCTAAGTTTTTATCCGACGTTCCTTCTAACATTCCTAAATGAAAATGAAAATTCTTTTTTGTTCGACTCGACACCCCTTTCCATGGACGTCGAATCTTTGGCTCTACCAGGTTCCTTTCAAGACCCAAAACTCCTGATTACAACCCTATCTTCGACCATCGTATCAAACTTTGGAACAAATATCCCATTGCCTCCAAATTAACTCTTCACAATAAGAGAATTATGTTTCTTTGTAATATAGTCACCCATCAACCCCAATCTCCTCCCTTTGAGAATAAACTTCGACCTTTTTGCATCATCGATGAAGCAAAGTCAAGTAATTTTGACCTTCCTATTCGATCCTTGATTGTTATTATTATGCTAACCTTCGCTCTGAATTTTGTAGAGAGCTACATGAACAAACCAACACTCTCTATTGGCACATGAGCTTCCTCTGGCGACAAGAGGACTTCGACCAAGAAGGTTGCTCCCAAGAAAACAAACATAAGATGACGCACAACACCATCTCTTCCACAACCAAGGAGCACAAACATGTCTCCATCTCGACCAAAGAGCAGGACATCGCCTCTTCTCCAACTCGGTTGACCCACCAGCTGGTCGACAAACAACCACCTTCCTTGAGCGAGAAGGGGTCCGACGATTCCCTTGGGCAAAAGCGCCCAGCCATCCAAGTCGAAGAGAGTAACAAATGACCTCGTCTTGAGGATGATACCAGAGAGATCACCTCTGCCCCCTCTTTGGTGACATCCACCTATTGTATGGAGGTGACTTCCTTCCTTATACAGGTGCTCCCTGCCACCGACCTGAACCGCTGGGGCTCTGACCTCATGGCCCAGAGCGAGTGTGCTACTCGGGCCTAAGGTAAATTTCGATATTAGCTTCATTCTCTTCCCATAAAATTTTGACTTGCACTGCCATGTATTCTAATATTTTACCATTGCCTTTGTATACAAGGTCTAGTTGCGTTGGTCTCTATGCTCGACACTGCCTTGTCGGGCTCAGGGCGACTCATCGCTGAGCTCGAGAAGGACATCAAGATGCTGACCGGGGAAAATTGACAACTTTCCTCTCTGCACCACGAGCTAACCGAATAGCTAAAACAAGACAACCAGTGCTACAAGGATGATCTCATGGCCAAGGATCGTGTGCTCGAAGAAGAAGACGCTTGTCGTAAGGACGAGCCTGATCAAGTCATGCTTACTGCCGTAAGTCGTGCCCGAAAACTGCTCTGGAAGACCAACATCGACCAGAGATTCCTGAAGGAGTACCATGAGCAGGTGATCGATGATTACCTCAAGTCGACCACCTTCTTGAAGGAGAGCACGTCCTTGGCCACCGATTACTTTCGAGTCTGAATGGAGGAAGCCGGGAAACAAATTGAAGAGCCTGAGTTCGATGGTGAACTTGACAACAACGCTATATGGGATGCCTTGCAAAGGTGCCTATGGGCTTCGAGGGTGATCCGACCTTGCCTGCTACACATCCGTGGTGGACGCAAACTCTTGAACTGACCCTGGCTCGCTCCAAATTGCTAAAGGCACATTTCGACCTGCCAGTTGTTGATGTTCGATCTGTTTGCACGTCCACTGCCTTGGAAGAGTCTTCGGCCGACCAAGCACGAAAGAATCCTAATGCCTCGGCCTCCGATGCTGGCACCTCTGGTCCAAACGTGGAGCAGCCAACCTTCTCCACCCCTGAGCCCAATTCATCTGTTGATCCCAATCCTGCTGTTGGGTCCCACACCGAGCCTATCCCTGACCAGATTACCAACGCTGAGATGACATCCAATGCGCCCTAATCGACCCTTTGTAATTTTATTAATTGGACATGTACTTTTACTTTCTATAAATGTCATTTTTATTTTCCCAATCCCGTATTTATTTTGTATCGATCAGCCATGAAAATGTGCCAATTAATTTAACCAACTAACATTATTAATCAGCCTTTATTCCATAGCCAATATAATGAAGAATATTCCAAGTGATAACCAATTTATCACATGTTGACATGTTCTTAAAAAAGTCGGTGTTCAGTACATTTCAGAATTAAGCGGAGATAGTTTTCCCTTAACGGTTTCTTATGGCATGACGATTAACAAGAGTCAGAGTTAGGCTTTATCACATGTTGACATGTTTTTGAAGAAGTTGGTGTTCAGTTGTGTCACTAATCGAAATAGCTTGAACTTACTATTTTGCGGGAAGGATGGTATGCTTACAAGGCAAAAAATGTTGCCTACAAGGAGATTTGTAATAATATATAATAGATTTTTTATCTATTTATTTAATTTTATTTATTCTTAAATATAATAATAAGGATGGTTAAATAGCTTTGAAACTGTCCACTTCGTGCGTAGCACGGTCTTTGCACTAGTTTAGTATAAATAAAGCTGAAGAAAATCTTGTTTTATTAAAAATACTAAAATAGATTTGGCAAATAAAATTAGCCATATATTTTTGGTCAATGATAATCTACTTACATCAATTCTGTTTCATTTCTCTGTTATATATATATATATATAGGGAATGGTTCCAATGCATCCACTTATTTAAAGTGAGGACGTAAGACTCATTTTTAGCCACAAGATTAGGTACATATCATGTGTGGCCAAGATTTACTCTTTTTTTTTTATTATTTTAATTATTTAAATATTATTTTGACCCGTTGACTCCAGCGTTGACCGTTGACTTCCGGTGTTGACTTCCGGCATTGAGCGTTGACTTTCGGCGTTGACCGTTGACAACTAACCTTCCAACTAGGTTAGTTCTCTGTAGTTGCTAGGTTAAATCTCTGTAGTTGCTAGGTTAGTTCTCTCTAGTTGCTAGGTTAGTTCTCTGTAGTTGCTAGGTTATTTTTCTGATGTTGCTAGGTTTTTTTTTTAAAAAAAAAAAACAAACAACGCCCCGGAAGGGCGGGGGATTGGGCTGGATCCCCAACCTGTGCATAGATCAGGACCCCAAGGTCGGGGCCCAACATATCAATGATCAAGGTACAATAGTCTACATCGTCTCACAAATCAAAATTAAAAACCAAAAGCAAAAAAGAACCGAAAAACGAAAAGGAAATAGAAACTACAATACATAGTCGATCTTCGGGCTAGGAGATGCCCGAAATAAATGTCTATACTAATTAAAGCAAAAATCCTAAACTAGTGGAAGCGGAACGCAGGATATCCAAGCTGGTCCATCCTTACAGGGGTGCGAAGGCGGAGTGGAGCAGTGTCGGTCTGGAATTTATGTGTGTCTGGTATGGTGGCGCCAAGGCTGGCAAGATAGTCGGCGAGTCTGTTCCCCTCACGGAAGATGTGTGTGATCCTGTGATGGACAGACCGGAGTACATCTCTAATACGCATAAGCGGGTGCTGAATCTGCCACGAGCCCTGGTGGCCCGAGGTCAAAAGGGTGGCTACAGCCGCCGCGTCTAGCTCGATCCAAATGTGGCTGGAGAGGTGGACAGCAATCTGAAGGCCGATCTGTAATGCCTGAATCTCTGCATCATAGCTCGAGGAGGCCTGAAGGGACGCGTGGAAGGCGGTGATGAGGGCGCCGCTGTGGTCCCGGATCAAGTCTCCTCCTCCGGCAACTCCAGTGTGGCGATCAAAAGAGCCATCAGTGTTCAGCATGACCCACGGAGAGTCAGGTCGAAGCCAAACAACAGCTCTGGGCCGAGGGGGCCGAACAGGCAGTGGTGGGCCACCCTGTAGCGATGTGGCGGCGTGCAGCCTGTCCAGTCTCGGGCTGTGAGCCTGCCCAATGCGATGAGGAGTGAAATGTGTCTGTCTACCTGCAAAACAATGTGAGAAAACATAAAAGTAATATCCCTATGCTTCGCACTATTCCTTTCTGTCCAAGTGAACCAAAGGATCAGACAAGGAATGAGGAAGCCCACGTGTCTAGGGTGTGTGCTCTGTGAGAAAAAACTCAGAAGCTCAAAGAAACTGTATGTGGTGGGTAGGGATATATGTGTCCAAGTGGCAAAATGCTCCCACACTCTCCTCATAACCTCACTCTCTAGAAAAAGGTGGGTAAAAGTCTTGGTCTCATGGCGTTCAGTCTCAGAACAACAAACGCATCGAGAGGGGAAGGAGATCCCCCTCGCGTGTAGCACAGTATCGATGGGTATCCGGTGCAAGAGGAGGCGCCGAAGGAACACCGAAATAGTAGGGGTGAAAAGGTCACTCCAGATGGCCCCGAAGAGAAGATTCGGCCGATCCCTCAGCCTGATCTGCTCCCAAGCCGAGGTAGTAGAAAACACACCCGATGATGTAAGTCTCCACCTCATGCTATCTGAACCGTCTCCCGAGATAGGGATCTGCTGGATCTGATCTAATAAATGCCCGCTAAATCCCGCACCAGACCCCAACTCCCTCTCAAGCTTCCCCCTATCCCACGACCTGTCCGTCCAGAGGTCGCTCACAAGCAGGTAGGGGGAGTGCGACACCTGCCTATCCCTAGACAACGGCCTATCACCTACC